TGGAAAAAATCCATTAAAAGGCGCACCCCTTTCAGGGGATGTGGCCCCCAAGATTTTTCGATATATGTTTATAGGAAACTTTTATCTTAAAATTGAATATTCTATCACCTGGTTAAATTTTTAACAATAACAATGGAACACCCTGAATAGTTTGCCATCGAAATATTTCTCCTTTTTTTTACATTTGTGTTATTCTTTTTGTAAATGCAAATTAAATTTATTTAATCTAAATTTGAATAATTTTGATGTTCTATTTTTTTCTTATTTCTGTGACAACTTATGCTAGAGTAGCTATTGCTAATGAATTTCTCACAATATCATACAGGGTGTCCCAGCGAGTTGGAAAAGTCCATTAGTGACTTTTAAATGGTAAAATAAACAAAAATATAGTACATTGATAGATACTAATCTAGTCCAACGCATAAGCGTACACGCTGTATAGTTGAAAATTATATATAAATATAATTTTCAACTATACAGAGTGTCTCAAAAATAAGTTACAATACAAACTTGTGTTTTTTTAAATAAAAAACCATATGTTTCTTAGCCCTTTTGGATGTAGATTTTGATAACAATATTTTTAAGTTAAACATTTATTGGTCGATTTTGTTCAGTTTTCAAAGTAAGACGGTTTTTTTTTTTGACAAAAACATGCACTTTTTAAAAATTTATTACACAAAAACTAAGACGTCTAGAAATATTATTTGTTACTACCGCTAAGAAGAGGGTACAAGCTACAAGGTTGTGACATTTTTTTAGTGTGTTGCATTTGCAAAGATAAGAAAACGAGGGCGTTTTTTAAAAGTTCAATAACTTAAAGAATTTAAATGAAACACCCTATTTATTGTTTTTGCATTTAAAAGGTTATTAAAATGTCTTTCTAAAATTATTTACTTTTAGATGTTTATAATCAAAAACTAAAAAGATATTTAACGTTAAACATTAAAAAAAAATACTGTTGTTTCAGTAGCCAAAAAGTGCACAGTTGCACAAGAGATGAAAGAAATATCACATTTGTATTAAACTGAATCCATTATTTTTTATTTTTACAATAAAATAATTCAAATTTCAGTATTTATAACAACTTTTACTGGATAAATCAACGGATAAGTGATCCGTGGTGTACTATGGTTGCCATAGTATCAACAATGCTCAGATATTGATAAGCATTGTTGCTACAATTAATATTGAATGTTAAATATCTTTTCATTTATCAATACGAGACATTAAAAGTTATTTTTTTTAGATAGAAAATTTATTAATCTATTAGATGCAAAAATAAAAAATAAATTGCAAAGAAACATACGGTGTTTCATTAAAAAAAAACACAAGTGAGTATCGTAACTTATTTTTGAGTCATGCTGTATGGTTGAAAATAATTTTAGGTGATGCACTCGATTAATATCTATCAACGTCATATACATTTTTTTTAAATTTCACTATTTAAAGGTCACTAATGGACTTTTTCAACTCGCTGGGACACCCTGTATGTTCTTGTCGAAAAAATTCTCTACATGAATAAAATAGAAACTTAGGGCAAAGCCACAAGTTAATACTTAAAAAATATTTAAAATTCCTAATTGTTGGTTGGCTCGGCCCCATTTCACGGGCTCTCCGTCCTGCGGCAGCTTCGTCAAATATTTATTCAAGAGGAATGTCGAGTCGATTAGGAATTTTTTAATACGACGCGATGTTATTCACCAGATGTGCCTAAAAATTTCACGCAGGTATAAACAGCCAGATAATTATCGTTTCAGTAAACTCGAAATACCGAACCTTCGAATTAATCCAAGCAGAAAATTTACATACAACTACAAATAGTTGATCCATTTCGATTAGTTGAAAGTTTTCGGTTAGTTAACCGAACCGAATTTGATGTGGACTTGAATGAAAAATAAAGCGGAACGAAATTGTTTCTTAATTCAAGTGGAAGTCAACTTTTATTTATCTAACTCGATCTCTAACTGGCTTGTATTTACTCAGACATATCCATAAACTTGAAACGAATTCGCTATAAGTAAACAAAGTTTAATCTCCCCACTAAGTAATTAAACTTTCGCGGTCCAAAATAAAGTAGCTGCCATGAGATGACTTCATCTAATTTGGAGGTTCACTAGAAGCAACAATCTGACATTGTACTTAAAAATTGAAAACGTTTCAAGCCTTGGAATCAGTAAGGATATCCTGGCCTATGTTTGCAACTGAAAGAATTTTATCAGAAAAGCTGATTGTTTAACTTTTTACTAAGAACGTAGAGAAGAAAATAAATGGCGTATTATTTCAAGAAAACAAATACATTATTACAAGTTCTAACAAAGCCAAGAGAAATAAATTCCACAAATTTTATTATGGATATAAGCTGCATCAATAAAGGGTTATTGCCATTTGATGCTCTCTCTTTTCCCATTGGCTATTACGAGTATAATCTTTAACAACTAACTTTTACTCTCAAAATTAGTGAACCAGCCTTAAAGAAGCACCAAAAGACAAAAAATTGAATTGTCTTGTATAATCTTAAATGTACAGAACGTCCCACCTAACACTTCGCTCATTTGAATAAAAACAGAGTTTTTTCAGGAATTAATTGATTGGAAAATTTTCATTTAATATCACATAAACTACTACTAAACTGCAAGTTTTGTCTCTATAAGAAATCCTAACTATTTTTGTTTAAATATCAGATGCTTTATTTTTTATCCGCAAACGTCACAAAAGTGACTACTTTTATAACTAAATGTCACAAGTAAAAGTTTTACCTTTCAGCCATAGAGTAAAAATTTTATTTTTGCGCCTAAGCGTTTTTACTTTTACCATGAATTTATTGATATTTACCAATGTTGTTTCTTGTCTCTTTTACTGCTTGATGACAGACATTAAAAACCGGGAGAAACATGACAATTGTACATCGGGTAAAATTGTTTTTTACAAATAAGGTTGTAAAAGTTATAACATTATTAGAATCAGCAAGTTTTGTTTAGTCTTTCAACGGTCATTGTCAGATTGCAGACAATTTTGGTTTTTGAGTAACTATTCAAAACTTTGATACACAATAAGCACATTTTGGATATCCCAGTTTTTTATGTCTACCGGTGGTACAATGTAGATAATCAGGATTCTACATTTTGCACTACTAACTGCACTAGTTCAATTAATAAACACTATAATAAACACAAATGTCGATGCTGATGCGTAATGTTTGTTTATAGGCGATTTCATTACTTGCAAAGCGTTTTGATGATTTTGTTAATTTTCTTGATAATAATTATCGATCTCACTACGTTTGATCAAATAAAATAAAATAGTAACTGCTGTTTATTTAAATTTGGCGTCGTAGTTGGCGGTGATATGAGTGTGTTGTGAAAAATATGAACGAACCACTATTTTTAATACGCCCGGCGAGGTGTCAAATGTCAGATTAATAACTTTCATTAATAGGGTTCGTTCACAATCGGACTTTCATGGATAGCTTTGACGACAAATTTAAAAAACACCCGTTATATGGTATTTGGAGTAAATAGGTGTTTATGTGGCTCAAGTGAAATATTTGTCTCACTACGTTTGTCAAAATAAACGTTCACCTTCGCCACATAAACTATCACTTTTACTTCTAATAACATAATATACTATTTCTAACAATGCTTTGTTTCGATAGTTCAACTGTTTATTAGTCAAATTTTTGAAGTAAAAGAAGAGAAAAAAAAGTTTATGGAACAATAAATAAAAGTGTATTTTTATTGTGAATTGAAATTCTAAAATAACAAGTAATTTTTGTGAAATGAAATCACGAAATGATATTTTTGAGAAGAATTGCAGAATAAATAAAAAACACTTTTGTGTAATAGAATCGTTAGAGGAAATCCAGCATCCTGTCTGGTCTCGTTTTTGTTGTATCATCTGATGAATTAAAAATGGGAGCTGTAGTAACAATAAAGCTCAGAATTTCGTGTCTCTATCAGTCAGCTGCCATTTTGTGTTCAATTACGTCACGAAGCAGATTATTTCAGTTAAAATATGCAAAAGCGTCTCATAAATTATATCTGAGGCAATAAATAATACGGCCATTATACTAATTACGTATGGAGGAAGCTTTATTAGGCAGACAGGTGGAAGGGCGGCCGTCAGCTTTTAACTCAAATGAATGGGCAAATACCATTTTTTTCCTCCTCCCATCAAATGTAACGTTTTCGTCAAAAATTAGCACTCCCCTTCAATCAATAATCCCAAATCAAATTCCTTAAATAAAGTTAGGATCTTGGCGCTTGTGCAAATAACAAATCTTGAGATATGCAAGCAATTTATTGTGGAAACATCTGGATCCGTGATTTTCGAAATGGCTTTAGATATCGCGTGAGGATCAACGGAACTCTAATAAAGCAAATATTCCCTACCCGAATTGTTAATATAAATAAACTTCGATCGCGGCAGCATTAAGTCTGATGAAATTTCAGGCAAAAACCCATTTCGACAACACTATTTTCTAAAAGACTGAATCAACAATTGAATTTTCATGTTGGCAATTTTCAAATCACAAAAAAAATTGTTTGAACATTTCTAAATCCTAATTTGAAGTTTTAATGTCAAAATTCAGAAAAAATCAAGTGCCTGAATGATTTACCACTACTGCACTTCAAAAGCATTCTTCAATTTGAACTTTTGAAAAATTGACGACATTGAGACCTGATTCACTTGTACATTATTGGATCGCAGAGACGAACATTCCAAATCTCCGGACAGCAAAACGCTTTCACAACGATTCGTGAAACTTTCAACGAAATTATGTCTGATTTTTCGTGCAGACTCGGCGCTTTCAGGTAAGACGTCGTCATGTTTATGACGTGTCAGGAAGAAGGTCCCGTGGGAAAGCTCGTGTCCGAATTGGACGGCTTTGACGATAGCTTCAAGTGGCAAAGCCTACAACATTCCAATCCTTGTCCCTAAACTCACACATAAATATTGGATTTTTAATCCCGGACTCAACAACGAATTTTTTTATTTTTCAGGAGGATATTACATGATAGAACGGAAAACGCTCAAGCTGCAAATAGTAGTCCTAAACACGAACTTAATGAAGAAAAGCGACAACGACGACGAGGCTGCAGAACAATGGAAATGGCTCCACACAGTCCTGGAGAAATTTCAACGAAACGGCGAAACGGTGAGTTTTCACTCTAATGGTCATTAGTCGGTGAAAAACTCCCAGTACTGTAATTCTGAAACAAATTTTGCCGGTTTATAAGCACCGAGTCGATCATAACTCACTTAAGAAATTTTTCATTTGAATTTACGCGCTTTTTTGTCCCCACTCCCGGGCGCTTAATTCAAATTATTTCAATTTGAAGCAGGGCCGTACCCAAGGGGGGGCTTAGGGGGTTCAAACCCTCCCCGAAATGCTGAGCACTTTGTTATATAGTGTTATAAGTGTGTTAAAAATTTAGTTTTTTTTGTTATTTTAGTGAGTAATTTTAAATTTTTGTGAATTAATTTTTCATAATGTTTCATTTTTATTGTTAGGTACAAATTTAAATACTTGATAGAATATTTAATTTTAAGACAAAAGTGTTTCGAAAAATGCTATGAAAGGGAGCTACATCCCCTAAAAAAGGTACGTTTTTTAAAGGGTTTTTCCTAATATTTCAGAAAAAATAAAACTACAAAATTTGGTACCTTTATACATGGTGCACCAGAACTCGCGCCTCAGAGAAAAATGCCATATAAGGTAAGATACCAGGAACATGGAAGAATTGTTAAAAAAAATTTATCATCAAAAATTTCGAAGTTATAAATGTAAATTTTGCACTTTGACTCTATTTATTTCTGTTGGAAAAATAATTTTTAAAGTTTTTTTGCTATAGGCTATTAAAAGAGGAAACAAGAAAGCTGTATCCTAAATTGTAACTCTGTTCAATGTTATTTGTGGCTTTTATTAGCAAAATTTTTGTCAAATAATTGTAAAAAAACATATACAAGATCATCAGTATCCCTAAATGGATATAAAAAAATGTCAAATGTCAAAAAATAAATGTCAAAATTTTTTGACAGATAGAATTTTTTAAACATTTTTTTCATGTTCCTGGTATCTTACCTTAGTTGAAAATTTTGTCTGGGGCGCGAGTTTTGGCACACCCTGTATGTACACCTAAACAAATGCCAAATAACAAAATGTTTAATCAAGCGCGTTCTAAACGGTAAAACAAATTTAATTTTTAATTAAATTTTAATTTTTATGCTGTTTATGGTCTGTAAAATAAATTTTTAAACATTTTTACTAAAAATCCGTAAATTGTATCGGAAAAAGACCTTTTTTTATAAAAACTATGAAATTTTGTTGCTGAAAGTGGCAAAATAGTTGGAGTAAATATTTACCCTAATCCCATTTAGTTTAGGAAGCCCCTAATTAAAAATTTCAACATTTTATTTTTGTACTTGTTTAGGTGTATAAAAGTTATCATCTGTACCAAATTTTGAATTTTNTATGGTCTGTAACATAAATTTTTAAACCGATTTTTACTAAAAATCCGTAAATTGTATCGGAAAAACACAAAAGACTTTTTTATGAAAAACTATGAAATTTTGTTGCTGTAAGTGGCAAGAAACCACAGGCAAAATAGTTAGAGTAAATTTTTACCCTAATCCCATCTAGTTTAGGAAGCCCCTAATTAAAAAAATTAACATTTTATTTTTGTACTTGTTTAGGTGTATAAAAGTTATCATCTGTACCAAATTTTGAATTTTTTTCTAAAATTATTTCGGAAATATTGAAAAAAAACGTATTAAAAGACGCAGCCCTTGCGTAGCATTTTTCGATATATGTTCATGGAAAATTTTTAATGAATGAATGAAAAATTTTAAAAATGAATATTCTATCTCCTGTTTAAATTTGTAACAATAAAAAGTATTAAAAATGTATTTTATTTTTTGTTACTTTTGTGACTTAATTTGTATTTTTTATGTTTAAATAAGATCTCTTATTTCAATTTAAAATAAAAACGTGTACTTAGAGATTTTTGCTTTTTAATCCGCCTTCTTTCATTTCATTTTCATGGACCAACAAGAACCCCCCCCCCTCGAAATAAAATCCTGGTTACGGTCCTTATTTGAAATCCGGTGAGTTGATTAGTTAAACAAAACATCACTATTTAATTACGTTAGGTAAAACTTGCGCTCACATTGTGTGTGTTTATTTTCGATGAAATATAATTGTGTGAGTGTAACAACGTAAGTTGAGGCCCTGAAACGGAAACGTATGCCAACTTTATATATTATTCATAAAGCGAGATAAACCATTCCCTTGTAAAATTATGGGTGTTTGGGGAAACGTGTAGTTTAATGACTTCGTTATACCCATGCAAAAACAATTAAATAAACCGGTCATTTGAACACCACCGGAGATAACGAAACTCATTAATTATAATTTGCCGAACAACTTCCGTGATGGTGAATTATCACGTTTTGCTACTGTTTTATATGAAAGTCTTAAAGATAAATCATGGATGCGGCTCACGTGCACTAAATTGAAAGTGACGTTTGGCAAGTACCTCTTCTATCGTCTCAAAGAGCCAGACATGATATGCGAATACGAAATTTTTAGAATGAAGAGGGTCATGTCCGAAGATGTGACAAGGAGAGATCAAGACGATTTTTACTTCATTTTTATCAGCGACAATAAAATATTTATCTAAATTGGGAAAAAGGCACAGACAGATGTGCCAGAAACCAAAAAAAATGGTATTTGTGTTGTATCACTTTGCTTTTAAATTTTAAAATTAAATATTTCTAAACAATTTAATTATTACTCTAATAAAGTTATGCGAGAAACATGTTGTTTCACTTGGCTTTACACAGTAATACCGTGCTTAAAGTCCTTCAGATGGCAATCCTGATTTTTGACATCAAATGTCAGCGGAAACTTTGACAAGTTTGCGTTTTATTTCTTTTGAATGAAATAATGTTCACTTTAATGTTCACTCAATTTTTTTTTTGATCGCACGGTAGTAGATTACCAAGGACTACCAAGGATTGTATACTATTTTATGCACAATCATCCTCTTTAAACAAAAAAGACGAATAAAAAATTAATCAAATTTGGAAATACATGACATATGACAGTTCAGTTCCTTATTATCAGTTTTCGGGTTGGGAAGTGTCCCTTTCCCTATCTGAACTGTATATTTCATATCGATTGTTAAAGGAAGCTGAAATGTCAAACTTTCCAACTTTTTACATGCAAGGTAATTTGATTATTACTTTATGAGTGTGAATACAATCATACGCAGATATGGTTATACAGCAAGTCCCCGGATTGGGTTTACAAGAGGAAAAAAAAATCTTTGATTTTACGCCAAAACTGCAAAGGAAAACATTTTTTGTTTTATCTGAAACGAGCAAATCTGTAATTAAACTTTCATTATTCTGATTCTGTGAAGACTTAATTTTTTTTTTATTTTTGACTTAGAATGATTTTTCTCTGCTTTTTAAGTCCTATCACATTGGCGGTTTTATCTATTTGACAACTATATGTTACAATTAATTTATTAATTAATGGTATAGTTTTTGTTATAAATGACTTTGGTTTTTATCTTAAAACTGTTTCTTTGAGTTGCTATTTATTAAAATTATGTTTTTCACAAACATTTTTGTAATTTAACTTGCGTAAACTGATTTGTCAAAATAATAAAACCGCCAATGCGATAGGACTTAAAAGCAGAGAAAAATTATTCCAAGTCCGAAATCAAAAGAAAAATTAACTTCTCTTTCTACTGAGTTAGAATAATAAAGTTTTAATTACAGATTTGCTGGTTTCAGATAAAGGAAAAACTTTTTTTTCCTTTGCAGTTTCAAAAATAAAGATTTTTTCCTTCTTGTAAACTCAATCCGGGGACATACTGTATAATTTTTTTCGCAGTCAAATATGACACCTAACAATTTCATATTTTATTGTTTTTATGTTTGATATGCACATTTGATTAATAAAACTTGAAATTACTTTTTTTAATTATTAAAAAAATGTTATTAAGCTATTTTCACCTAAAGAGAGTTTGTCCAAAATGCTTACTTCTAATTATGGGAACATCTGAAAGTTTCTAAGAGCTATATAAATGATGGTACGGCCTTTTTGTATCTTTATCCTTAAGAGTAAATATAATTTTGTTTTTAAAAAGTCCTTCTACAAGCTAAGTTTTATTAGATAGTTTTTTTTACAATTCTATTTTTTAAACCTATGTTAACCAGTCTATATACCATTTTCAATATTATTTATAGAATTACCTGTATAAAAAAATAAATTGCATATCTGCAGCTATTACTAGTTAAAAATTTGATTTTTTTGACGATACTCCACTAACAAAACACAAAAAACATTATACACTCTTAGAAAAATCTACAACAATTTTAAATTATTTTTAAAATTTTTATTTTTTTTTTAAATCTTCAATATTATTTTAGAAGACCGATTAGATAAATTCAGTTATTAGCTATATGAAACCACTTCAAATCTGTACCAAAACATTTTTTCAATGAAAATTTGGTAAAAAAAACAATACAAAAGCACTTGGTAGTGGTCGTTATTAATCGCCGATTAATAAAAGTATGTGCAATGTATCTATGTCGAATTTTTTTTATAAATCTGAAAGAAAAAACATCATCAAAGCCACAAAATCGACAAAAAAAATTTGATTCTGTTTTAATATTTTTTCTCACTAAATCAAAATTTTACCTTGGAATTCTGAACAAATGAATAAAATATTTCAAAGTACCACATCGACATTGTATTTTATGTTATAACATTTCAGGTCCTCATTGACAACAAAATCTCTTTATTTTCAGTTCGATTTCAAAATTTTTAAACATTTCAAAACAATACTGAAATCGCATTCAGGTTTTTAATTTTTCAGGTCCTAATTGACAACGAAATCTCTTTATTTTCAGTTTGATTTCAAAATTTTAAAGCATTTCAAAACAATTCTGCAATTGCATTCAGGTTTTTAATTTTTCAGTCTTTTTATTGTTTTACATATACACACGTTGGTATGTAATACCAACACTTTAAAGTCCTAATTTACTGATCTGTGAAAATGTAAAATTTAATGCATTTTGCTTGTTTGGTGATCCTCTGACCAACAAAAACGCCCTTAAATATTTAAAAGGAATATCAAATTG